GAGCTGGGCTTGGAAAGGTTACCAGGGCCACTGAAGGAGTGCTAAAACCTGCAGGCCAAAGGCCAGTATGAAAGATGGGGAAGGTGATTTACTGGCTACGGAAAATATGTGGAGAGACTGTCTTCTTGCCTATTGCATGCCTGTACTCAAAGGTGAGTGTATTGTGATGCTCTTGCATGCTTTCCAAAGACTGTAGCGAGTGCCTTGTTTTCTTCTGATTAGCTGCTAGCTAACTTCTCAAACCATTCCCTCTTCTTCACATACAAGTGCTCTCTACTTTTTAGCTTGCTAGAAGAAAGAGCACTATAATTGCTCCTCAACCAGATTTCTGGCTGCTGCACTAAGGGTGATTTGACTGTACTACTTCCATATTCAAGCCCTTCTCAAATCCTCTTTCCAGTGCTTGCCTCTGTCCCTAATCTGAGCTGTCAGCCAACAGTAGAGTGAAACTGATCTGATCCTTGATCCTGTTATATTTGCATACAATGCTTTCAGCAGCAGCAGTAGCTGCTGCAAAAAGTGACAAGCTTTGTTTAACTTTTACTGTGATGTACCTAGCAAGATCTTCAAGCTAGCTATGGAAGTACTGGAATTGGCTGCCTGGTAATGTAAACATGATAGTAAATTCATTTCCACCAACTTCATATCTGGAAAGCTCTCTCAGATTCCAGAAGAAACAAAACTTTTTTCAATTGAACAATTACATTCCAAATAAGCTGGTAATTTTCTGGATAAGTACTCTTTTTTCATCAAGGGTGAAAAATCTTTTTTGAAGAGACTTGGATCACACACCATATGAACACTCCCTCCCCACCCTAAATCAGTCTTCCAAAAGTGGGGTACATGTCTTGGGTGGGGAGGCTGATTTCTGCAATGGAACTGAAGCACAGCAATGCTGAAATAGCTGATGGAGCTGTCCTCCTCTCCCAGCTGCAGGGAGAGGCAGTATGGGTTACTTTCAACCCTTTCACAGCTTCTGATGAATTTGTAGCAGCTCTTGGCTGTGGCAGTGAGAGAATTTAAATTGCAGCTTTTGGATGGGCAACGAGAGTCAGGATTCAGCCATAACTCTGGAATTTTCTTTTTCATTCTGTCCAGAAACAAGGTACATGGGCTTTTTGGGGGTATGTGGTATGTAGGAAAATACATTATTAGTCTACCAACACAGTATTGCAATAATTTTACTCAGTCAACAAATCTTGTTCAAAGAAGGTTTTCTACATGGCAAGTACTTCAAATGTTAATCTACAGAAGTTTCTTTACAGATGAACCATTTTCCTCTTTGTTAATTTTATTTAAAAAACCCAAACGGCACCTATACACGAGCAGGGAGGTTGCTCCAATGCACTGTAATTACCATGCTCCAGAAGCCTCCAGTGTCTTGTGTATAAGCACCCCAGTACTTAAAAACGATGGTAGCGCTTTATCTAAAGCTCGTTCGGCAAGCTTTAGATAATGCACCTCTGCTGCCATTTTTAAGCATGAGGACACTAATACATGAAACACTCCAGGTGCTTTAATTAGAGCCACTCTAATTAAAGCACCTCCCTCCCCACCCCCAACTCCCAGAGCACGTGTATAAATGCCTCTAATGTCTCATAGTAAAATTATGTGCCAGAGGAACCAAGTAGAAGTTTGAGTTTAGATCAGTGATAATATTCTGAGATACGAATGTTCAGTGTTTTTGGCCAAGTTGCAGAATTTTTGTTTTTTAATTAACCACAGCAATAGTCTAAATATTGTTGCCAGAGAACGGTATGAATAATCTATCACCAGTGGAAATGTATTGCCCAGGCCCTTCGGAATGCAAGTGCAAAAACATTGCACGATCTTGCACTGAAGGATGAAGAGCAGGACAGGGTCATTTGGCCGCACTAACTGAATAGGGAGATGCCATGTGTAGGGGTCTACCAAAACTGAGGAGGCAGCCGGCCGACTTTTCGGGTAAATCCTGGGGCTGGCTGCCATTTTTGTGGGCTGAGACAGGGCCCCTCCCATGCCTCTGGTTGGCTGAGGGGTCCTGGCAGTTCCACCTCTCCTTGCAGATTGCCATGTGGCCTGGAACTGCAGCTTGATTACCCCTGATTAAGCCCAAGGAAATCATTAATCCATGTGTTATTAAGTGTGGATTAATGTCTTCCCTATGCTTAATCAGGGTAATTAACCTGTGGTTTTGGGCCATCCCCAGGCAGTGGGCTCCACCATTTTGGCAGGCTCAAAGCAAAAAAAAAAACCCAAACCAAACCACTTACTGGTAAGCAGAGAAAAGGATGGGAAGCCCTGCAAGCATTGAAGCATGGGAGAAGAGAAGGGTGGAGAGGGAGGATGGAGCTGCTCGCAGCAGGAGGTGCACAGGCTGCAGGCAGTTATACAGTGGGTCCTAGGCCAGCTGTGGCAGGCAGCCAGGAGGCTGCATCAAGGTCCACAGAGCCCCAGCCTGGTTGCATGTGCACAATGAGCTGAGCCAGAGCTCTGTGGAACCCAGGGCAGCCTCCCAGCTGCCTGACAGCCGGCCCAGAACCATGGTGCAGCTGCCTGCAGCCTCTATGCCTCCTGCTGCAAACAGTCCCATGCTCCAAGACTGCAGGGCTTTCTTCTCTTTTCTCTACCTGCTGGTACATTATTATTATTATGGGGGGGGGGGGTGCAGCAGGGGGGTGGTTTGCAGTGAGTTTGCAAAAATCATGGAGCCCACTGTTCTTCATATTTTCTGCAAAAATCACAAAACTGTGAATTTGGTAGGTTCCTAGCCATATGTGGTAAAAAAGTAACAAGAGGTGGCTGGGCGTGTTCCACTTCTACATTTGTGTTGCGGGCAGAAGGGCGTGCAGAACCATGAAAATTGCTCTTGACCAAAAGGATTTGATCTTGTGTGAAGAAGCACCACAACTGGGATCCAGATTAACAAAAATCAGTATCCTCTTACAAACTTAGTTCCTTTACCCTGTGTTTTTTATGGTAGTTCTGGACACTACATAAAAGAAGATAGAGGGAAGGAAAAGGTACTGCCAATCACTGATAGCTGTAGAAGTGAACACACACAGTATCTCATTTTGAAACTATGGACATACCTGAGTATACAGGTTATATCCAGTGACAATTCAAAATGTTGTTGCTTAGAAACAAAACAAAACAAAGAAACCCATTGTCTCCATATTTTTCAAGTAGCCGGACAATATTTATTACCTTTCTCTGATCAAGTTGTGAATTATGTAGTAGTACTGGAGTCATGTTTGGATACAGTTTTACCATCACTCCAGCATCCCTGCATAATAAAAAGTGGTTATTTCAGAATAATTGACCTAGAATACTCTACGTGGTTTACTCTGCATCATGATTCCAATGAAAACATAAACCAACCCATATAACAATCTTATTGATCCCTTTCCTTTATGGTTTATCATCAGATGAGAAAGGTATTTTAAAAAAGCATGCATACATTATCTGGAAATACAAGCATCAATCTCAGTAAAAAAATTAAAAGTATGCATCATTCCAAGATTTTTTAAATTAGTATGCATCATTGTGCAGAAGTAACAGAAAGCTGATTTCACCATATGTGAGACACTAACATCAATTAAAAATACATAAAACAGATACAACAAAGCATAAAGAAAAGAGGAGGATTAATATTTTCAAGAGAAGAATATCAGCAATGGGGCAAATGCCAATCTCTATAATTAATTTCTACAAAAGTCTCAGGCCCCTGGCAGACATTACATTTGTTATGCATTATATGGAAGTATTTATTTACTTGATTTCTATATTGCCCACCTCGAAAAGGCTCAGGACAGTTTATAATAAACAATCATAAAAACAGATTAAATGACAAAACATTAAGAAAAAAAACAATTTCCAAAGGATTTCTGTGCTTAACAACTTCTTTGTTGGAAGAAAGTATTTGCCATCATTTTAACATGTGGCCAAACCAGCATGTTACAACTTGTCAAGTTGATACTTGTATATAACTTGCAATACACGTATCATCTGCCAGGGGCCTCGGAGGTAATATTCCTGTCCTGCTGTGCCGTTCTAGCATTTTGGCATTAGCTCGGAAAGGAAGAAGTGTCTAGTTTTGTAAGTTCCCACCCTTATAACAGAGTCTGCTCCTCTCCCTACTGTATCCCACCAATCTACATATGTCAACTGGTAATAAGTTACTCTCTTCAAGCAGGAATATTTGGCAGGCCTGATCACTGGTAAACAGTTCTCTTCTAGTAGTATCAAGGAGTTTTATGCAAATTTAGACATCAAGGCTGCCTGCAGACATTAAAAAAACAACAACAAACAAGACAAAGAAAAAACAAACTGGTGCTTTACCTTAAACTTGGTGTGCTCCCACATCGAGCACAGCACATCTAGAAGAGGCAGCGCATTAGTTGAACCTCGCTCACCCAATGTCTGTATAGATCGGGTACTTTAGTGGGACTTTTTTGGCGCTTTTATCTAGCAGCTGATTGACTCAGCTCTAGATAAAAGTGCCAAAAAGCCCCGCTGAAGCACACGATTTATACAGATGTTGTGCAGCTCTTGGCTGTGGCAGTGAGCGAATTTAAATTGTAGCTTTTGGATGGGCAATGATAGTCAGGATTCAGCCATGACTCTGGAATTTTCTTTATGTAATGCACTGCTACTTCCAGGAAAGTGTGTGTTTTTTTTTGTTTTGTTTTCTTAAATGTCTGCAACCAGCCCAACTGTTCTAATTCTGACTTCCAGCGGATGGGGGCTGCAACACAACAGCACAAGCTGTAGGCACCATCTTCTACCGCACCACACACCTCATCCTCAGCTCCATAGCTGCAGTTTCTCTGGGCTGCTGGTTTCCCCAAGCTTGCAGGCTACATCATGCAGTACTGTCCTGTCACCTGATGCAGGGACAGGAAATGGAAGCCAGAGAAGAGAGGGGGAGCCTGGAGACCCTGGCTGCTGCTGCAACCAGTGTGATGGAAGGAGCAGCAACTGGATGGGAACCCAGGGGCCTCTTCTGAGCCACATGCACCCAACACCAGTTGGACTGTTCTGTCTTGAGGAATGAAATGAATCTGGAAACTGACTTCAGAAGATAACTGTCTTACCTAATTTCAACTATTGTGGCTGCATAGACAGCTCCAAACTCCAACAGAACCTCCTGCTGTAGAAAAAAAAATGTTGTGAGACACAGGCTCTTAAGATATAGGGCCAAAAGTAAATAAGGAAAGTCTGTCCTTACATCATCTTGGCAGATTGCACTGATAAACTCTCGTGCTTCATCCATAGCACTAGGTGTTGGAGCAAACACAGAATAGGTCTCTTCATCCAACTGACTTAAAGTTATACCTTTGAAATAGAATGCACATGGAATTAAACATTGATGACAAACACAAAATTAATAAGTACTGTACAGCTAACCGAGCAAGGAAGAAGTTCATTCCAGTGCAAAACTACGTTTAAGTTGACTTACAGGTGTGTTACTTATATTCATTATACCAAATACTTCTTTTTGGATTTTGTCCTGGACATTATATAGAAACGTGCATGGCAACAGTGTTGCAGTCTATGCTTGCCAAACAAGTGTCCTGCCGTGGAGCCTTAGTGGGGCTTTTCAAGCATTTTGCATTTGCCCAAGCTTGAGATAATTCTAATTTCAAACGATGATTTATTTTGCAAAAGTAACTTCAAAGACACATTCAGGAAGATTGAAGGTTTGTGAAAAGTTTATTTTGGACCCCATGAAAATTAAGTCTTTTGAATCAACAATTCTTATGTTTGTACACTTCCCTGAGCAACTGGTCCAAATGATGGCTACTTCTGTAACAGTGTTCAGACTAATGGTGTCTAAAAAGTCAGCAACCAAAAAAGCAGCTGGCTCTCTCAGAACAGAAAACAAGGTAGCTAAGAACATTAAACTGTCCAAAGGCTAAAGCAGCTGAAACAGGGTACTTACTTGATATGCCATAAACATTAAATCAGGCTAGAGTCAAAACAAGTAATTTTTAACTGCTGTTTGCTAACAAATAGTGAATGAGTACAGAAGCTTTCCAGTATTTAGCAATAAAAAAAGAGTGTATGTACTTGTGAAGATTATAGGAAATGATTTTTAAAAAAGTATTTGATCTTATAGCAAAGCACTGGATTTGTTGTTAATGTTAAACACTTTTTTTCTTTAAACGTGGACTATTTTAAGCTCCATAAGATGCACATGATATTTTGAATCATCTTAAAAATTGCTAGGTCTCAGGAGTGCACTTGGTGGTTCAAATTTGGGGTCATTTGAGCAAGGAGTTCCTTGAAATACAGTCCCTGCTAAAAACATTTTACAATTTAAACTCACTAGGTACTCGTAAACTATGGCTCCAAAAGTTCTCCAAATTATTTTAGTCACTGAGCATTTAACTCAGCTGGAACACTACAGGCCCCTTTGGAAAAGTAATACTGAAAAAATAATTAACTGTAAAGGTTTGGAATTCCAGGTCAGAGCGAGCTAGAACAACCACATGAGGATCACTCATGCAGCAAGCCTAAGGCAGCAATGAAACAAGATATTTTCCAGGCAGGATGCTATCATAATAACTAAGGGGCTCAAGGACACCTGTTGTGGCCAATGAGCCTGAGCTGCATCCACGCACCGAATTCAAACTTTGGGCACAAACTACTTTTAGAACACAAATATAAATCTGACTCCTTTAGAAGTCACTTCAGCAAACCACATTCTCTACCACTACTCTGATGTTACAGATGACATAAGAACATTCTGGGTATAAGAGCATGTGAGCACTGTAGGAAAAAGTTCAAAGCCATTTTCTCAGATCTAAGTAATATCTAGCAACCAGGAACTACATGTGTCTATGTTCAAACACATCTAAACCACCCCAAACTAGCTAAACATTACTTTCAACCTTGCCATAAGGATTTCCTCTGAGACATCACCTTCCCCTATCCCTCAGTACTGTCAACCTTGGGGCCATTGTTATTAAATGTAAAAGGTACACATAATCCGCATTGAAAGAAAATGGACTTAGACCGCTCTGCAGGCACAGACTTGGAAACTCTGTGCTGAAATGAGGCACACCTAATCCTTCACAGTACACTTTCACCTCTCATCCCAGGAGCTAGTCTAACAAACTACTCCAGTTTCTCCCTCTGCTATTCTGTGCATGTATGTCTATCACAGTTGAGGCAATTGCCAAGAAGTGCTGGAAATTAGATCTAAAGCACTACACAAAAAACAGCACGTTCTCATCAAAGTTCCTTATGTCTACCTGTTACTGTACCTCTGCCCTAACAAACCTTTATCCAGCAGCAATTGCCAACTCCAGGATAAAGGTTTTAGAAGGAGTGAAGGCACCAATAAGAATTTTATGCAGTTAGCAGTCCTGCGTGCTATAGTGATAAATGGAGTGACACACCATAAAGTAAAAGGTTTCTAAGTGAAAGGAAACTAGTTACATATTTATGCAATGGCTACAGAAAATGAGCATCTTACCAGTTTGAGCCTGCAGCTTTTTTAAATTATAACCACCTGGGCCAACAAATCTTGTTCTTTTTGACACTGGGACGTGAACAGTTTCTGAAAAACAGCATTTGAGGCAAGCTGAAGTACAAAGCATACATATTTGTGTGGTATTTTTAAGATCCGGTCACACTAATTTCTCTTTTAATTTTTGTGCGATGCTGTGTAAGAATCTCCTAAACACATTGATATAAACACATTTCTCAAGAATGGAAGTTTAAATAACAAAGATGAACAGCATCTTGGTCAGTACAGTTCTCTTTATTTATTTATGGGATGGGATGTATATGCTGTCTTTCCCAAAATGGCTTGGTGTGGTTTACAATAAAAGAAAAAAATTATTATAAAAACAGAATGAAATGTTAAAATAAGAATAAACAACATACCACACACACACACGTACACAATTTGCACTAAGCTCATAGGAACATAGGAAAATAGGGCTGGAAGGGACCTCATAAGATCACAAGGGTGCCTATACAAGAGCAGCAAGGCTGCTCCAACTGGAATTACAGTGTGTTGGGCAGACTTGATTAATTACAGCTGCTGGAGCATGTTAATTACTCATTTCTGTGCTTCAGCAGCCTCCAGAGTCTAGAGTATCAGTGGCCCTGTGCTTAAAATGGCAGCGGGGGTGCTTTACCCAAAGCTTGTTTGACGAATTTTAGATAAAGCGCCTCCCTTGCCATTTTTAAATGCGGGGATGCTACTACACGAGACGGTCCGGGTGCTTTAATTAGAGCAGTGTCCCCCTACCCCCTCTGATCATGTGCATAAACACACATAGTTCAGCCCCCTGCTCAAGGCAGGAACATCTCCAATTAAACCACCCTGGCCACATGTCTGTTTAACCTGCTCCAAGGATGGAGATTTCAAAATGTGTCTAGGCTGCTGGTTACAATGCTTGACCACCCTCATATCCAGAAGATTTGTCCTAATCTCCCACCTAAATTACAGCTGCTGCAGGCTTGAGGTCATTGCTCCCAGTCTTGGTCCCTACAGCCACAGAGAAAAACTCATCTCCATCCTCTTCAAATACCCGAAGGGTGATTATAGAGACTCTTACCAAATCCCCCCGTAGCTTTCTCTTCTCCAGACTAAACAACCCAAGTTCTTTCAGCCTTTCCTCATAAGTCTTGCCGCCCAACATGGCATTGTCCACAAATTTCCTAAGCGCACACTCAATCCCAATGTTCAAATCATTAATGAAAACATGAAACAATACTGGACCTGGGACCAACACCAGGGCAACCCCATTTGATACCTCCTCCCAATTAGACAGTGAAACATGGATGACTACTCGTTGACTACCATGATTTAAACGGTTATATACCCACCTTACAGGACCTTCAAACTAGTCTGTATTTCCTTAGCTTTTAATAATGCTGAGAAAGACAATGTCAAAAGCCTTGGTAAAGCCAAGTATACCGCATCCAATCCTCTGACCCCTTCCTCCATCCCTCAGCCTCCCACCTTATCATAGAAGGAAAACAGGTTGGACAGACATAATTTGCTTTTGGCGAATCCATCCGGACTGTTCTTGGTCGCCTTGTTCTCCTCTAGATACTTTACAGTTAGTTCCCTGAGGACCTTTTCCATGATCTTTCTATGTATCAAGGTCATGTTGACTGGTCTGTAACTTCCCAGATCCTCCTCCTCCTTTTTCTTAAAGATGAGCACTATATATTTGCCCTTTTACAGACATCTGGGACCTCACCTGACCTCCACAAGTATTCAGAACAGTATCTTCATTGGAGCCAATGGCTCCAAAATTACCTTCAACAACCTAGAATACATCCCATCTGGCCCTGACAACTTGAAAGCAGCTAACTTCTCCAGGTATATCTCTTCTTCTGCTACTCTAGCCTGTTTGTCTCCTTCCCTATATTCACTGCCAAATGCTGTAACTTATACTGATTTGGTGGGAGCTTTAAAAAGAATGAGTTGAATGAGACAGCATATTCCAACCCTAAGGGCATATCTATAATACTTAACATTTAAAAGTTTCAGAACCTCTGGAAGAAAGACACCCAGCAAAAACATGTACATACCTGAAAATCATTAGAAGAAATGATGAAACAGCAGATTTCAAAATATCATTTTAAAAGATAGCAAATATGTCTGGTTACATGCAGTATTACCTACAACTGGTCCATTTTCTTTTCTTGTTGGTCTGGGTTTTGCAATTGTTTGGTTCATAATTTTCAAGATTTCTCTCTTTGCAACTGTGGGGGAAAAATAGTTCTAGATTTAAACTGGATATAAACTTGTTAACTATAGGGCTGTCAATGAATCACTGTAAACATGCATGGTTAATGTGTTAACTGGTTCTTGCAGTAATTTTTGTAATGTGTTAATTGCGCATGTGGCTTTGGAGCCCATGGCCAGGCTCCCCTCTGCTGTCATCACTGATGCGTCTGGGCTGCCCAGTGGGGCAGCAGTGACAGTGCAGAGGGCCACAGGGCAGCTTGGGTACGGGCTCTGGGCTGCTGCATCTGGTGAGGAGGGCACAGGTACAGGCACCCACAAAGCTAGGAATGCTGCCCAGTGGCTTGTAGAGCAGCACTCAGCAGGGAAGTCTGTGGAGCAGAAGGGGCAGGGGAACAGATCAAGGCCCCCATAGTGAGGGAGTAATTGCGGCAGGGGCTGGGGTGAATGGGGCCCCAGGGCCAGGGCAGGTCATGGGATGGAACCATGGGAGGCCCATCCAGCAGCATGGGGGTTGCAGCCCCCTGCCATTGCGCACACTTGGGGGGAGGCATGGGGGCATGTTTGCCCCACAGATTTATGCACGGGGAAGAGGTGGACTGCCCGCTACAGGCTGGGGCTCTGCACCCTGCTGCCTTAGCCCAGGGAGCT